CTGACCCCTAACTGATAGACATACAGGAAACAACTGACGATTTTCAGATCCTTTCAGCACTGACGTTAGCAATATACTGATATCTCAAACTGCACTTATGCGTTAAATAGTTTCACAGTGTTTTTCTATATTTTACATGGTGACCTTATTCTCAAAGTGCTTCTGGATTTGCTAACAACAAATGTCCTGGGGAACAACATGTTATCTATGTACATACGTATTATTTTAATGGTCCAAATTAGAAAACAGTCAAAAGCAATCAACATTCCACAGGACAAATAAGTTGTAATATATTTTAACAATGGAAATCTATTTACTACGGATAAATGTTAACTACCATTTGGAACGAATTGGACAACTCTCACAGGCAGAATGCCAAGCAAAACAAGTAGATACCATGTGAGTGTGCATGTCTAGAATCCAGAAACCAGACAAAGGTCTGAGGAGCAGCTGCCTTGCCAGAAGGCAGTGGTTGGCTTGAGTTTGCCTGTTCACTTTAGTTACTTTCTTTAAAGTTGGATGCCAGAGCTTAGGAGAAAACTCTTAGCTGTCTTTCATCAGACTACCTAGTACTTTCTAGAAAGTTAATAATCTTCCCTAAAACACAGAGCAAGTATAAAACATATCTGCAAAAACTGGACCATTTAACTGCCCTGTAATACACACAAGTAAAGCATCATGCCATTTGAGAATGACTTGGGACCACATACTTGTTCACTAGACATCCTTTTAATGTCCTTTAAATCTATCAGAGCTTCTCGATGGTTATTCATTGCAGTAAAACATCCTGCACGTGTGCCTGCTCTCGTTTCCCTTTCAACTCTTTCATGCTCTTACCTCTGAAATACTTTAACTCTTTCCATCTTTCTTGCTGTTTTTATTTATTTAGCTTGTTTTTAATTATTTTTAATTAAGTGTATACATGTGTTTTTCTGAGTGAGCATGAGCACGTGCAGGTTCTTCTACAGTACAGAAGACAGAATCAGGTCTCCCGGCATGGAATTAGAGGTAGCTGTAAGCTTCCTACCATGGGTGCTGAGAGCCAAACTCAGGTCCTTCACATACGCTGCGTGCACAGTAAACTACTGTGCTTTCTCTCCAGCCCTTATTTGGCTCTTTGAAAGATTTTTCCAAAAATAAATACATTTCTGTATTTTAAAAATAAAGTTTAGATTCCCACTGAACACAAGTTTATTTATGAAATTTTGTTTTTTTTTAAATACTGCATAATTTTTCATCAGAATCAATGCTATCCAGAAGGATATTTCCTATATATAGTTACAACATCATGACACTTATTATCTTATTTGCTTTTAATTTTAGTGAATTATATTCAGTGAATATGAACTTTTAGCTTAATGTTTTTATTTTCTGCCTGACCATTTTGTCAAAATTTTGTAATTAGAAATTTTTATACTCATATGAATAAAAGTTGAGAATAGATTCAATATGTCCATTTTAAAAAAAATATTTACTTACTTGTCTTTTCATTGATTTAGATGGAATGTCATGTAGTCCAGCTGGCCTCAAACTCACTCTGTGGTTCTGCAGTTCTGATTCTCCTGTCTCCGTGTCTCAGGGACTGAGACTAGAATGTATACCTGGGGGTTGAGCCTGGGCTCTCTGTGGGCTACATGAGCAGCTTGGCAATGGAACATTTCAAGAGCCTCTGGTCATCAGTTGTAAAGTTTAATTTCCTTTTCTTTTTCCATTTCCTTTTTCTTTCCTTTTCCCTTTTCCCTTTCCTTTCCTTTCCTTTCCTTTCCTTTCCTTTCCTTTCCTTTCCTTTCCTTTCCTTTCCTTTCCTTTCCTTTCCTTTCCTTTCCTTTTCTTTTAGCTTTCAATCTAAATATGCACTGAGAAGGTCAAAGTAATACATTTATTTATTTATTGTTTTTATTTTTGAGATTACAATCACATCACTTACTTTTTCCTTTCCCTCCCTCCAACCCCTCCCATACCTCCTTTCCTGCTCTTTCCAATCCCGGACCTCTGTCTCCGTGAATTATCCTTACATACACACATGCAGAGACATACATTCCTAAGTATAACCTGCTCAGCCTGTATAATGTTACTTGTGTGTATGTTTTCAGGGCTGACTATTTAGTTTTTAATTTCTGTTTTAGCACCCAGACCCTGCTGCTCTATTTACTTCCTTTATGACCTTACGTTTATCAGATCTTTATAAGGAGAAACAGCTCTGCCGCCTCACGGTCCTCTTCGAAACCCTGACTGGTTCTCTTGTACTAATTTCTATTCTATGTTAACAGTGTTTTACTTAAGTGCTGCAATTGCTGGCACAAATGTGTCTAGCCTTTTGATTTCCATTTATTTCATTGATCTTGTTTCCTATAAACATAATATAACAATTTTATTTTCATTTACCATATATCTGAGTTTTTGTTATTTTTAAAAGATAATTTGGTGTGCTTACAGAAACACTGAGATTTATATATTGGGTTCAAGCCTGCTTTAATTTGCTTCTCATTTTTCTCTTTCATGCATCTTCTCTCTACTTTCTATTTGTTAAATGTGAACCTTCCAACACTCATAATCAAATATGCCTCTCTATTATATGAAAAGGAGACATTTACTCCCATGGCCTCCTCTGAGCAAGAAGCCATGTTGTCCTGTATACTGTCTTCCTTACTCCGTAATGAGATGCCGGGTGTCTCTCAAATATTACTTAAATACAATTTGCTGCCACAAAGGCAGCGACAACTTTACATCTTAACATATAAATACGGAGATCAAGTATAATGCCGAGCCTGTATCTTATTTTATGAGTATAAGCACAGGAACTTAGCTTTGATCATGTTTGGGTATGCACAATGACTGGCTACCATCATAGTGGTATTACATGCACAACAGCGAAATAAGCTAACATGAAAATTAAAATATTTAAAAACAACTATGATATCTTACTTTTATGTCTTCCCTTTTATGATAAATCTTGATGTACATTCAACAAAATTTTATTTTATTTCATCTTTTAGATGCTTCATCGATTTCTTTTATCATGGTATTACCAAGATAATGTGGTTTTTTTAATAGAGTAACACAGTCATTTGTGAAATTTTATTAGAAAAAGTCCATAGAACCTTATAATTTATTAAGAATGGGTTTATTCTACTGCCTGTACTCTTTATCTCTAAACTTTAACCTTTCCAGCTGGAAGACATAACTATAAATAAATAATAAATAAATAAGTAAATGAATATCTTTAAATATAGAAATAATACAATTTGCTAAGTATATTAATGTAAGGTTGTTGCATATTGCGTAGTACAACATAGTCAAGAGTGATTATACATTATATGGAAAACTAATCTTGTTATATAATTGCAGATCATGAAGATCTCTGCACAGTGATCAGTATGTGTACCTGTTCATTTAAAGGCAGTCATTGTGCTGGCTTGTGTGTGTGTGTGTGTGTGTGTGTATCTATCTCTATCACCTCTATCTCTGTTTCTGTCTATATATCTAATCTATATCTATATCATCTATATCTATATCTATATCTATATCATCTATATCTATATCTATATCATCTATATCTATATCTATATCTATATCTATCTATATCTATATCTATATCATCTATATCTATATCTTTATCATCTATATCTATATCTATATCTATATCTATATCTATATCTATATCATCTATATCTATATCATCTATATCTATATCTATATCTATATCATCTATATCTATATCTATATCTATATCATCTATATCTATATCTATATCTATATCTGTATCTGTATCTGTATCTATATCTATATCATCTATATCTATATCTATATCATCTATATCTATATCTATATCTATATCCATATCATCTATATCTATATCTATATCTATATCATATCTATCTCTATCTCTATCTCTATCTCTATCTCTATCTCTATCTCTATCTCTCTATATCTGTATCATCTATATCTATATCTATATCATCTATATCTATATCTATATCATCTATATCTATATCTATATCTATATCATCTATATCTATAACTATATTATCTATATCTATATCTATATCTATATCTATCTATATCTATATCTATATCTATATCTATATCATCTATATCTATAACTATATCATCTATATCTATATCATCTATATCTATATCTATATCTATATCTATATCTATATCTATATCATCTATATCATCTATATCTATATCATCTATATCTATATCTATATCATCTATATCTATATCTATATCATCTATATCATCTATATCTATATCATCTGTATCTATCTATATGAGTTCACACACTATATGTGTAGAAGTGGAAAATCTGGTGAAACACCTAGACTCTAACTGGTGACTCGGAAGCCTTTGCAACCTTGTTATTGTGGAGAGAATCCTGGAGACTGAAGAGAAATCAATACATTATGAAGCTTTTATTACAGACAGCTTGTGTGGTGGCTTGCACTAGAAAAGCCTGAACATCTGACATTTGTTCCCCAGTTGGTGGCACTGCTTGGGAAGGCTTGGGACAGGTAGACAAGCGGAAGGCATTGTCACTGGGCAGGCCTTGGGAGTGTATAGGCCAGTCCCACTTCCAGTTTGCCCTCTGTTTCCTGATACGATCATAACATGTGACCAGAGAGCTTCCTGCTATACCTGTCTGCCTGCTGTCCTGCCCTCCTCTCTGCTAGCATGATGTTTTACCAGAACAGTAAATAGTACTAGCATAACCTGTAAAGATATTATGTTTTGAAAAGTCACAGTACTCTTTGTTTCCTTCCCTTTCAGCGGTGTTGCTGAGGCTGGGCATGTAGGTTACTTTGTAATGGGCTTGCCTCCTATGAAGCTTACATTCCATTCCCAGCACCATTCAAGCAGGGTGTGGAGACATATGCCTATAACCCCAGTATCCCAGAGATGGAGGAATTAGGACCGGAGGTTCAAGGTCTGTCTTGGATATATGCATAGTTAGTGAGAAGGCAGCCTGGGCCACAGGAGTCTGCCGTTTGACCTACTTTCACTTGTGGAGTAATCCTGCGGATCAAGAATGCCCGACTCCTGCAGAGAACGGATACAGGAGTCCACCAGCTCAAGGCCTGTTGTAAGTTCATCTTCGATATCTTTCTGGCCATCTGAAAGGAGATATATTAAAGTGGTAAACACAGTAGGTTAACTTTAAAGCTTTAGGTCACTGGTTCTCAAGCTGTGGGCTGTGACCGGTTGATCCTAATGACCCCCTCACAGGGGTTGTATATCAGATATCCTGCACATCAGATATTTACATTATATGACTCATAACAGTAGCAAAATTACAGTTAGGCTTTAGGTCACTGATTCTCAAGCTGTGGGCTGTGATCGGTTGATCCTAATGACCCTCTCACAGGGGTTGCATATCAGATATCCTGCACGTCAGATATTTACATTATATGACTCATAACAGTAGCAAAATTACAGTTATGAATTAGCAATGGAACTACTTTATGGGTGGGGATCACCACAACATGCGGAACTGTATTAAAGGGTCACAGCTTCTGGAAGGTTGAGAGCCACTGCATTAGGGTATCATTTAACAATCAAAGGCTACCTCTATTAGACAACACATTTGCAAGCCTTGGCATCAAGCACAGAAGCCAAAGTTAATCACGTGTATATTTGGAGAAGATTAAATTACCAGAAAATTAAGAGACATTAACCCCCTTGCCCCCAAATCATGAGCCCGCATAACTTCACTTAATTTTTACTGTCATTTTTTTCTAATTCACTTTTAGAAATCTAAAGTTCATAATAAAATTAGTCAGCAGAGATACATGTAGAAGGAGTAAGATTCCATAAAGAGGCCATACTTTACCTTGTGTCTGCCAATGGAACTGCTCTCCTGCTGAACTGCAAGAAAGAGAACACGCAGCTGTAATGGGCTAATTAGCAGAGGGTATAGTCTAAACACAAGACACACAGGGACCCCAGAGTAGGAAAGCTGGATTCCCGGAACTTTTCTCAGTCCTCACAAAGCAGAGAGGTCCACTGAGATGGAATCTCAATTTTCATGCATTTGCTGTATATCCCCTTCTGATTTGCAGGTAATACCCGTTCTGTCAGTGGACATTGTTCAGTCATTTTCGTAAAGATAGCTCATTTTTTTCACAAGTTCAATCCATTAAGCAATAGCTTATGGATAATTCAGCTTTTACCCAATTTAATTACTTTAAAATAACTAAACTCTGCATAGTATTAGACATTGTAAAGGAGCCTAATAAAGAAATATATAACCCTTTTTATTAAAAACAACATAAAATAACTTTTTGCCTTTGCTTCAACATTTCCTATGAGTTCTTCTTTCCAGTAGATTTTTGTGACTTAAAATAATAACATATTGCCACCAACTGAATATACATTTTGAAATTCTCCCCTAGCAACATCTTATCAAAATGATGGAGTTGTTCACACACACACACACACACACACACACACACACACACATATATATATATATATATATATATATATATGCATATATAACCATACATGATATGCCTGTGACATTTCAGAGTAGGCCTGCATAGATGACTAACTTATTTTGTATGGCTTATTAAATATAAAATAGGTGAATACATTTAAATTTTCTGGGTGTGAACAACTCCCTTTGTGTGTTCTTCTAATGGTGCCACCATTTTCTGTCAATATCTGACGAGTAGTAAGAACAGCAGTGACAGATACCATTTGAGAATGGTTTTCTACGTGCATTTTACCAGATCTTTGCCTTGATCAAGCAGCTTCTATGAATAGCTCATCAGTCCTCTAACAGTAAGTGGGTTTTAGACCCTTAATTTGTACCTCAGAGGCAGCTTCTGAATACATTTATGTGGGAAAGGGGGAAATCTGGTATAAATCAGCACTCAGAAAAGCCATGATTGATGTAAATGAGAACAAGAATGGTCCCTTTAGAAACGAATGACTATTATAGGGTGTCTTGCTCCTGAACCAACTCCTATTAGCAAAATGGAAAAGAATTTTAGAATGCTAAGAGCTAGAGACAGATCTGACACATGAAAAGGTAACTACAAATTCATTTCCATGAAGCTCTTACATCCATTAAAGAGATATAGCATTATCTAAGAGCTATATCAAACTACAAAGTTCAACCCTTACCTTAGGAATGTAATACACACGTCAATATTTTAAAAATGATAAAGCATCTTCCCTTAGTAGGTATCATTACATATATGGTTGTTCCATATTAAAATACAAGAATCACCAGGATACATATGAGCCATCACCATCATAGATATGCTATTCCTTTAAGAAAGTTATTTATCAAGCATGTGCTCTCATGACCCTAATATTATACATTGATACCACTGCACATTCTCAGAGACTGCACGAGAACTTGGGTATATTGATTCTGAGTAATGCTAAGTGCACTTTATTAGTGTCATAATCATATGCAGCCTTTCTTAGATGTATAGGTGAAAGCCCACTAGACACCTGCAAGCTCAGAAAATCTGTACGCTTGGTTGAGTGTCTGCTCTAAATAATGAAGTTATACACTTCTTGTGTGCCATGAATGTTAGATTCACCAGGTAAGACACTCATTGTCAATTCAGTGCTAACCCAAGGTCTGTTATCCTGTATTGTAAGGCTGGACAAACTCTCAATGTGGCATAACCTTCTAAGTGAGGATGCCATCATCTGTGTAGGAACAGAAAACATTCTCATACTCTTGTGGGCTGAGTAGTACTTTCCCCCCAAACAAACTCTAGACCAAACCCCTAAAATTTGTGTATTCTCAATTATTTGGACCGAGAGTTTCAAGACTATATCAATGGTCTTCAGACAGATCATTTACAGAAGCGATTTATCCTTGTAAGAGGCTGACAGGACCTATACAGACATGGAGATGGCCAGGTCAAGGTGAGAGTGAAGACCAGGTGACTTGGATACAAGTGAAGGCTCAGTGGAAGCCACACAATCAGGGAAAGGTTTGAGAGGAACTTCCTCTTCAGTCTTGACACACTGACTTCAAACTTCAACCCTACTTCAAACTTCAGCCCTCCAAAACTTTGTAAGAATAAATTGTTGTTTTAAGCCTGGTACATGTAGTAACACGTATGGCAGTCCCTGGGAATTATACTACTTTTTTCTGATACAATAAAGAATTTGCTACTACCTCCAAACTACTTCAGGCCCATTGCAATCCAGGTATTTGGTTCTAAGGTTTATTACACAGCAAGATCTTGTTATTTCTCAATACTTACCAACTTTCTGCTGCTTTTAGGAGCAAAACTTAGTGATGTAAGCAATGTGACCACACAGCTTCTGACAGTCTCCTCAAGAAACTATAAAGAAACTTGCACAACACTGAATGCAAATTCCTCATCCACAATCCAAAGCCACTCACTGGGGTGAGGGGGATGGGTTCCCCATATCTAAAGCAATGCAAGTGAGCCACCCCTGAGCTCTGTGGAGTCTGATCTCTCCCTCTGGGTCACTGAGATGCACATTTGCCCAGTCCATTATGTGTAGACAGGGCTACAACCAAACCCCAAGGGAAGAAGTGGAGGGTGTCATTTCCTGCTCAAACACAGAAGTGGAGACATGAGTTTCTAACCTTTCTATCAACTTGAAACCTGTGTTTGGATGAGTCCATAGGAATGGACTCATTTCTGTCAGCCTACACAGAAAGGTGGTCAGACATACGGTGTGCTGGTGTGGAAACTAAAGCTGCAAGTTGACTCTGTAGAATTCATGTCCCAGTAATCCACAGGAAAATGTGCCATTGCTGGTGTTCACTAGCAGTTCTTCTGTCTTCACTTTGCCCTGCAGAGGATGGAGCTGGATGGAGGTGTCCCACGGCAATTCCCACACAGAAAAGTTGGGGCCTGTGGCTTTGCTCATTTGGGGTTTTGTCTGTTCCTCTACAGTAACAGGCGAATCGGTGCACAAGACTCGGCATCATCACATTACCACATAGCTATTCTTTGTCCTTCTCTTTCTAAATTATTTCAGTTTTACGATACCGCAGAAATGAGAAGGAACATTTTATTATTATTATTGCAGCGCAAAGAAAAAGCACTATTGACGGTAATGTAGAAATGTCCTCTCAAAAAAATGAAAAGTCATACTCCTTAGGGGAGACGAAAGCATTAATCACTTCGGCGGCTTGCTTGACTCCTTTCACACCGTTAAAATGCATTGGCAGTAATACCGATCACAGAGTGCACACGTCCCCAGAGGAAACCGGTTTGGATTTGGTTTCCTTAAGTGTCTACTTTCCTTTCTCTGTCCTGGGATTCCATGAAATTGTATGTCTGTGTGTGTGTCTCTGTGTGTGTGTGCTTGATTCCTGTCTTTTATGAAGTGCTGTAAGGTGGATACTTATTTTAAAACTCCAAAAGCAAACAAACCTAACTATTCATTACGTCATCACAGACTAGGCCTGCTTCTCATATCCTCTCAGGTCTAGGATTAGGAATTATCTGCAGTAAATGTTCTTCATTACGCAGCTGAATTTAGTACAATGGAAAAATGCTCTTTGAGAAAGTCATAGTTCATTCGTCCTCCACATCATATGTGAGGAAAATGGCAGATTATCTCTTTGACAAAATATTAAAGTAGGGGTATTGGAACATTTCTAGTTAGTCAGCAATAGCTGATAGCTTCATATTCTTTGGGCATGATGCATGTGTGTGGCAAGGGTAGTTTAGACCAGAGAGTCACCTTGAGCTCCCTGCAAAGTGGATTCTACCATTGGCTTTTCTGATGATCATCTCACTCACCCGTGGGCCATTTCTAATAAAGACCACACATGAAAGTTCATAGCTTTTCTTAATGTCAGGAAAAGACACAGAGCAAGCCACTTCTACTGACTCTCTCTCTGACCAGCTCGAGCATATTTTCTTTTGTGACTTTCAGATGCCTGAAGCATCGGGCTCCACCCTGAAGCGGTGGAACATGATTGCTCCTGACTTCTTTCAAAATGAAATAAAGGTACGGAACTATGAGGCCTTTGTTAACTTTGCTTTGATGCTGAGCAATGCACCTAAAACATGAGCCAGGGGATGCCATTGTAAAAGTAAATTGCTTCCAAACTAATGTCTGATTCTACCCTACAGGAATAAAGATTCTCGTATTGATAGCATCTGTACGTCTAGACCTTGGTTGGAGCAGAAAAGGGCTTCTAGTAGTCAATTTCACATACAGGACCCACCCTGAGAGGTAGTGATTGCAAAATAAAATGAGCTTAGTCAAGACTCTCAGATACTATGGGGATGGTGTGTGTAGGTAAAGACGAGAATTGGCCTGTTAGGTGTGTAGTGTCTTGCTAGAGGCTACTGCTGCCTTTTATGTGTCTGCTATGTTTCCTAGTGTACTATGGTCAAGAGCTTTTTCCCTTTTGTTACTGCCTTGTGGCTTCTGTCCCTGAAATAGCCTCAAATGAATAGTCACAGTCTCCTCTATGTAAATGATATGTTGATTTCTTTCTTATATCATAAATCTTTCTGCCGTGGTTATTTCAACAAAATATATAGTATTATAGCAACCATAAACATCTTCATAGGGCAACAAAGGCTACTGTTAGGAAAACCTAGCTAAACTAGGATGCCATACGTGTAGTAATGGGGAGAGTGGTCTCTGAAACCAGACTCTCTGCATGGCAGAGCCCAGCTCTGACAGGTTCAACAGAACACCTAAGAAATACAGAATGGATTAAACTTGTTTATAAATTACAGTTGGCCATGACTATAATCATTTACTGTAAATTACTGGTGTCCGTGTCAGCAGTTATCAGTTGATTGATTATGGCTTACTCTGCCTTTTATCTCTGTAGTACACGGAAGTTGTCTGTGGGAGAGTCTAAGTGGGAGTAGTCATGGGGAAAGGTGAGC